CGACAGTACACAACTCACTTAGTTGCACCAGGTGACGCATGTTGCCGATGGCATGCAGAATTCCCACCGTGCCACAAGCGTTGCCTGAAATTATATGACAGAGCTCAATACTAAGTTGGTTGAAACCAACTTCAGCCCTAAAGGAAATGGCCGTACCAACGGTCTGCCGCATGTAGTAGACGTTGGGAGACACTGTTTGTCCGTCCTTCTCGATCCTGACTGCCTCCTGCTTGTCAGCCTCCTCGGTCTGAAGTCGATCGCGACAATTCAAAATCGCATTAGCTGGTGAAACACTCCCACCTATTGTAGATATTGTATCACCACAGCAGCTGTTTCGTACGTGTGGCTTGATCGGAAAAAGCATGATGACCCCCACCACGGGGGTCGGCACCATAGCCAGCGCCCACTCCTCGGTGCTTAGCACGTCGCAGAAGCTGAATTGAGACGTAGGGAAGCCCATCTTCTCCACGTATGAGTTCATAACCTCCGGATTGGACTCGAGTGGGAACCAGCGCTTGTGCTTGCCGTCGTCGCTCATTTTGGCTACAGTTTTTTCTTCACGAGTTTTTTTTTCTGACTGTGATTGAAACAACATTTATCCATTCGCTGATTGGCTGAAAACTTCAATTACGATCTTCCAAATGGCTACAGTTTTTCTTAACCCTCCCATGAAGTAATCGGCAAGTACCGGGAAGAAGAACTGCCCCCCAAACATCCCGCCTCTTGAGCAGGTCGGACGCGACTACTGACCACTCAGTCGGTTGGCACGCACAGAACTCACGCAGTGGCCCGGATAGAGCCGCGACTGCGCTGTGCCAGTCCAGTCTGCAGACATAACGTGGTTAGTGACTCGAAGACGTTGCGTCTTGTAAGATGCTGCTTACACAGTGGAAGTCTCCATCTCGACGTGTAGAGTCTGGTGAGACTTACAGTCTCCACAGCTCCTGTGCGTCATCAATGCAGATCGAGCGGCTGCAGACGACACGAGACATATATGCTGAGCTGGAGTGGAGATAAAGAGACTGGGAGCTGAAAGGAGAAGAGCCCATAAGTCATCGAGACATGTCTGCCGACACGAAAGCGATGAGTCACCGAGGCTGACTACTCTCCGTCATGCCCACACCGA